ACACAATCTATTGCCCATGTGGTCTTTTATACAGCTTCCTGCCAGGGCTCTTAATACAAGCCTGCAGACGGACTTTTCTCTTACACCAGGGTTAGCCAACGCGGTGCCCTCCAGGTGTGCTGCTGTACTACAACTCCACCTCCTTAACTATTAGCCACGAGACCAGGGTGGATAAAAATTAATGATTTTTTAAAAATAAAAAATCAGATTTTTTAAAAAAAATTAAATCATTTTTAAATAAATAAATAAATTGGATTTTTAAAATAAAATGTTTTTTGGGGAAAAATCTTTCTAAAGATAGTTTTCTGTTTAATTTACATTATAGTCCAAAGGCTATTCATAAGGAAATAAGGATTTAAGTTTTTCATGTGTGCTAAAACTCAATCTAAGGTGGGGTTTTTTAAAAAATAGCTTAACCACATCAGTTAACAAACATGGATACATATGCTATATCGTTACTGGATTAGTTAAATAAATTGTTTAAATTGTTATTAAGGAAATGATTATTTTTCGCTTTCCAATAAAGTACAGCAGAACAATTGTCAAAATATAAACAGTTAACTTCTTAAACCTCACAATAATTTCATAATTATCTGCCAATGTATTTCTAATAGTATAACCAAATCAGTGATTTTTGATATAACTGTAAAAACTACTCTGGAAATTTATTATTCCAAAAATGAAACCTTCATCTGGTTGTTAATACCAGCAAGAATGATTCTTTCTGTTAAAAAAAATAATTTAAATCAAGTCTTACTGACTAGTGATTTAAATCAAATCCAGCCTGCACAAGACTGATAGGAGTTGTGCTCCCAACATCTGGAACCTTGGGCTTTCCAGATGTTCCTGAACTACAGTTCCCATCAGCCCCAGCAAGCATGGCCAAGGATGATGGGAGTTGTAGTTTGGCATCATCTGGAGATTCTCCACAGCTGTACTAAGGGGGGGGGGTAAGGGAGGAAGTGGTGGAATTTGCTTTGTGCTTGGAGGAGCAATACTAACAGCATAGAGCCAATTCCTTGTGCTTGAGTGCAACACACACAATTGGTCCAAAAGTCTTGTGCTGTTGTCCCTTTTCTAGGTCACTGCCTATTAATTTTTCAAAGCGACTTCCTTGTGCACCTATTTACCTAGACATGTTATTGTCTGCTTTTAGCAGAAGCTAAACCTGACTACATAATTGTTCTGGAAACCACAATGCCCAGGTGTTTTCTCGCTGTAAACTCTTGCCTGCTTCTCTGTAAATTTTCCTGCAGTTTATGGTGCAATCCTGTAATCTTGCTGTTTCACAAGAAAACAAACTCATTGTGCCGGATTGTGCAAGTAGAGGGTGGAGGAAGTCCAGGATTGGTTCCTGAACACTCATGCACTTATCATTTTCAGATGCAGTTTGGCTGGTCAGCACACCGCTTATTCTCTTGCCAGCGCCCCATAACCCTATGTCCAGTTTTATCTCCCAATTCCAATTTTGTTCAAAATCCGGATCTTGGAATTTAGAATGCGTTCTGCAGACGAGGCAACAAGTTCTAATGCAACCGAAGCCCTTGGCATGATTACTCTGAAATAAATCCCACAGAATTCAGTGGATATTACTCACAAATTTAAGTGAGCATAAGACTAATCTTAGTCTGATTTGGGTTGCACTAGTGCACAACCTGCTTTTTCTTTGTTAGTTTTAAATTCCCTGTATTTATGGAAAGGGGAGAATTAATTGTTTCACAAAATTCCCGCCCTCTTCTGCTTTTGGAGCAAACACCTTGGGTAAACTAAGTGATGAACAAGAGGAATTGATAGCTAAGGAGCAGATAGCCTTGAATAGAAGAAATGAAACTGTTAGCTATAGACCAAGCTGCATTTGACTTTTAACTTGCTATTTCTGCTTCCCCTGACCTCATTCCCTCTATTCCCTCTTCCTTCCTCTTGTTTGTTTTCCTTTTCTATCAAGTTTTCAATTTTTTGCGGGGGGAGGGTTATTGCATTGGTCATAAATAACTTAACTAGACCATGGGAAAAAAATTTGGATAGTTTGTTAAAAAAGAAGTTCAAAACCATTCAGGCAGAAGATCTGTTGTGGTTTTCCTGGCTAGATGCTTTTTCCTGGAGTCATCTGAGTCTGCCGACTCGGCCACCCGCACAACATTAACCTTAAATAAAGCCCCAGTTGTTGCTGAGAATGAAACTCCCGTGCAGAGCGTTCTGGCTAATTGCAAGAGTCATCCTTGTGGGCTGAAAACCGCTCTGAAAGCAAAAATTCTGAGACACGGCATAGCTACAGAATGTTGGACTTTCAACAGCGTGTTGCGGGAGTTTCGGGGGAAAGAGAATTGCTAGGCGGGAGAACGGGGAAACTTTTTCTTCAATCTGAAGGCTGCATGATGTCATTGGCCACTTCTCAAGTGGTAGCTGGGCAAAGGGGAAGTGGGTGAAATAATGGAAGTTTCTCTGACTTGACTGGTCACACTGCAGCTGCAAAGGAGTCCAGAGGTTTCTACACACCCACAAACCTCTTTCTCCATCTAGGCAAGGAAAGAGGAATCTCCAGAGTTCCAGGGCACATTCTAGCTACGCAAAAGGAAGCTGTGGAGCAGCACTGGGGAGAAGAGGGGTCTGGAAGAGTCCTGAGGGCCACACACACAGAGCAGTGTTCAAAATTCCCCAGGCGCATTTTGCGACCAAGTGAAGGTGTCTTGGCGCCAGGTTTGGTGACTGACATCTTCACAAAAGATGTTGCTGTGCACCTGCCGGCTGGCTGATCCGTGGAAATTTATTGTCACTGGGTTGTTTTATTCGATGTTTTAATGTGTTGTAAATCGCTTTGAGTTTTTTTCCTTTAAAATATAAAGCGGCAGAGAAATGAAATTAACAACAGCGAATTTCACCGATTAGCTTATATATGTATCCGAATTTCTATAAGACTGGCGCTAGGCTTCACGGTTGATATGGAGGATCTCACAGTGGAAGCACAGGGCTGCCCATCCAAGTAGACCACCGTTCAGCCTAGTCTATTGAAACACTTCCCCCTGCCTTCCTGCAACCCATTGAATTTGGCTGCTTTCTGTTGTTGATCAAGTGCCACGTCATCTCTGGGGCCACATCCTCTGAAGTTGGGGGGTTCTAAGAGCCTTGTTCAAAGGGGGTTTCCTGCAGGATGTGGAACCAGGAAGGGGAACAAAGAGAATGACTCTTGACCACCAGTAGCAGCTTCCTCCTTGCAGGGCTCTCAGTGAAGGCATTATTACATGGAAGGGAAACTCTGGTCTAACATATGAAAATGCTTTCCACAACTTGTTTGCTGCGCGGAAGGGTGAAAACGCAGCCGTGTGAATCTGCTGAATGGATTGGTTCTTCTGAGGTTCCTCTTTTGGGTCCCACCTCCAAGAGGAAAATCGTGGATGAGTAACCCAAGTTGGGTCCTTCTGGAGAACACAAAAACTCTGCATGCTGCTTTTTGGAACATTTTAGCTGACTGTAGCAGCATTTTCCCCGAATGTGGATTTTGAGATTTTGAGTCTCGCTCCCAACAGGGTTGCGAAGAAAACAAACGAGCACTTAATTTTTTGGATGCTGCAAGAAAATGAAAAAGGGGAGCCCCGCCAGAATTGACTTTATTGTGTGTGTGAGTAGATCACATTCCTTGAACGAAATCACAATCTCGTAGTATTTGATACCAGTCTTGGGATTTGGAAGCCGCAGAAGCAAATGACCTTAACCCATGCAAGTTTTTGTACCTGATGGCTTGGAGGATTTGGAATGTGGAGATATCTTTATTACCTGGACCAAAGGAAAAATGCGAGGCATGCTCTTCTCATTGGAGACATCCCGTTTTCTCTGCTTTTCCTCCTTCTCCCCCTCCAGGTTCCTCTGGCTTTTACCTTAAGCTGAGGAATGCAGAGATGCCGCAGGGGTAAAATGGTTTTGATGGGTGTCCAGAGGGGCAAGCTGGCCTGTGTGCTGATTTTTCACAGCCCTGTATTTTTTCTTGCCTGGGCTTCGTGCAACTTTCTGGCTCATAGTTTGTGAGAAACTAGCCACCGGCAGAAAATGATGCTGAAAATTCCCCCACCCAGTCTGCCCTGGGGTGAAGCCAAGTCATAACAAACTGGGTTAGAAGGGAAATGGGCTTGGCTGCTATTACTGGCTTGGTTCCATGACAGAAAAAGAAGTTTGCTAAGCTTGGATAGAGCTTCAACTAGTTGACAGTGGGGTTTTTTGTTTGTTTGGCCACCCTGTGGTTTTTAAGGTACCTCCGAAGACCTGAGCTGTGCTTCAAAGCTTGCACAGAGCTCTTCCTGTATGTCTTCAAAACTTGTGCAGAATTCTCCATATAGAATTGTAGAGTTGGAAAAGACCACAAGGATCATTTGGTCCAACCCCCTTTTCAAGGCAGGAATCTTTTGTCAAGTGTGGGACCCATGATCCTGAGATAGAGACACACACAGAAAGAGAGATGCAAACCGCTGCAGAGTTTCGCTGGAAAGGAATGCAAAAAAAGGTCTAATTCTCTGAAAAAGGAAAGCAGAGGGTGTCGTCGTCCACTGGATGCATGAATGGGTACGTATGTATTGGTGGGAGCCCACCAATGGCAAAGAAAAGAGCCATGATGTGGTGTGATGGCAGTATTTATAGCAGGGACGGGGGAACCTGTGGTATTCCCAGTATCAATGGACTGCAACTCCCATCTTCCCCGTCTTACCACAGCTGATGGGAGTTGTAGTACAACAACAACAACGTATAGAAGGCCACAGGCTCCCCACTCCTGGTTTATAACCTGAAGGCGGCTTCGTTTCTCTTCTCCCTGTGAACTGACAGGTCCTCAAGAGCTTCCAAATCATGCCAAAGGAGGAAGAACCCACTGCCAGCGGCTGGCACACTTCCCACATTGATTGCTTGGGTAGGTTAACTTCTAGGGGATACTTTGGCCTTTCGTTTGATGAAGAGGGAGGGAGCAGATGCGACTGGAAGAAGGGATTGCTAAATGCTCCACCTTGTTTCCCTTTTAGATGGTGGCCACCAAATGAAAGACGCAACGGCAGGTGGAATGAAGAGCGAGCTGCCTCCAGGAAGACCTCAACTTTCTTCCAACGCTGGATAAGCCCTCCATCATCCAGTCTCCCAAAGGTCCAATATTAAAGTCCATAGTACTGCTTAATACCATTTTCAGGGTGGGTGGAAGGTTTTTATTTTGTATTGTCTGGTGGTTCTCCCCTCCGATTAATAAAATGGTCATTTTATTTATTTTTAATGTGTCTGCTTTTGGTTTTCTTTGAGTTCCAGAATTTCCAGTGTTTTGCAAACATGCTTTCATTTCATTTGGGATTCCCAGGGGCATTCAGTTTAGTCACAAGCGTACGCATAATCAGGTGGATCTTCAGCCTGATCCAGTTACAGGGCCCCCTCTTCGTTTCTTCACAGTGGTGTGCGCCTGTGGTGATTTGAATCTGGGTTTCACTCCAGTTCTTCACACCACCCGAGGTCTGCCAAGAGCAACGGAGATTTTGCAGATTTGAGAATCTTCCTTTCAGTGCTGAACTTTTGCACAGGTCATTTTTACATCTTGCCGCTGCCCCCTAGTCCAGCGGTTCCCAAACTATGCAATTGGAAAGATAAATAAATACGTGCCTTTGGTATAAGGGCGACGAAAGAATGACTGATTTCTCTCCTGAAAAGTGCTCCACGACTCAAAAAAAGTTTGGGAGCTGCTGCCCTAGTCAATAGTTCCTGAAATCCTCCTAATAGGATTCCTTCAGAGCCCCATGTTGGCTTAAATTTACAGAGGCAACTTGGGGAGACAATTCTTTATTTATCCATTAGCCTCTTCCATGAGACTTTATGGCTGTTTTAGTTGCCATCCAAAGTTTTGCACACTTTCCCTTCCAACCCCAGTTGCTCCACTCACAGTCCTCCAATCCACCACTTCTCAGCTCCCTTACTGCCTCCAATATTGTGGTCACATTCCTCCTAAACCTTCCTCTTTTTGCCGCGCCTCTGCTTGGCTCCTCCTCCTCCTCCATCGCACCCCATCGCCTGGGTCCTAGTCTGCCTCTTCAGACTGCAGCCAAGCCAGGTCACCTGTGGCACAGCTGTGTTTACATCCAGCTGTGTTGTATCTGGTGAGGTGCAGCAGGCAGGGCTGTCCTTGGCTGCCTCTCAGCACAAGGATGCAAAGCTCTGAGGTGCCAGCAACCTCTGTTTACAAGTCCTCCACACCTATGAAATTCTTGATTGGGAAAAGAGAGGGGTGGGGAGTCCTGTTCCTGAGGCTTTCTAATGAGCCACGTGGTAGAATCGAGCATGGATTCCTAAGGGGAACACAGTGGGGGATCCAGTCTTTAAAAAATCCAGTGGCTTGCATATATTATTGAGCAAATTTGCACAATTTATTCCACACTGTTGCTGTGCATCATTGATACTGGTTTTGCTCATCAGATGCGGGTGGGGTACATTTGACCCCCACGGTGAGGATGGGGGAGAATCTTATTTGATGCAAACTGCAGTAGGTGCTCAGCAGTGCAATCTTCCACCTGTCTACTCAGGAGTAAGCGTCATTGAGTTCGTTGAATTGATTGTCCTAAGAAGATTCCGTACACATCATAACTGAATACAGTGGTACCTTGGGTTAAGAACTTTGCTTCAGGTTGAGAACAGAAATCGCACGACAGCAGCAGGAGGCCCCATTAGCTAAAGAGGTGCTTCGGGTTAAGAACAGTTTCAGGTTAAGAACGGACCTCCGGAACGAATTAAGTACTTAACCCAAGGTACCACTGTATCTGAACAGTCAGGACTGATGGTCGGTTCCACTACTGTGCTGAACTGTTTCCCGTCTCTTTATTTTGAGCAGGGCTCGCTAACACTTTGCCTTTGCACCACACATTCTAGGCACGGGGTTCACGCTTTAAAGATCTGTGTCAGAGTCTCCCCGCATTTATGCAAACCTGAAGGAGCGTCTCCACCCCCATAATTCAGCCCAGACACTGAGATCCAGCTCCGAAGGCCTTCTGGCGGTTCCCTCATTGCAAGAAGTGAGGTTACAGGGAACCAGGCAGAGGGTCTTCTCAGTAGTGGCACCCACCCTCCTCAGATACCAAGGAGATGAACAACTACACAACTTTTAGAAGACATCTGAAGGCAGCCCCGTATAGCTGAAGTTTTTAATATTTGATATTTTATTATTTTTTTTTAAAAAAATGTGTTGGAAGCTGCTCAGAGGGCGGGGTATAAATATTATTATTATTATTATTTATTTTATTTTGCCACACCACTATCCCATAGGAAACCAGCTCTTTAAAGCTGAATCTGGACAAATGGCAATTCGGTTTCCCCACAGAATAGTTTTCAGTGAGAGTGGGTTGTTTTTTTAGGGAAAGCGCTCTGACACAGAGTTTTAAAGCATGGACCTGTACACAAAAGAGTATCTGGATGAGGCCTTAGTGGAGGATGGAGAGTAACAGATGTTTGCAAAGAGGCCCAAGGAGGAGAGAATATTATATTATTGGGGTGGGGGAGGAAAGAGGAAGGGAGCTGAAGGGGGCCAAAATATGTTTAAAACACCCTGCGTGTGCACTCTGAAGTGGTGTTGTGCTTTTAACAAATAAAGCTCTTCCCCCCCCCCAGTACTTCTGTCGACACAGACCTAGTCGTTTTTCTGGATTGTTGAAGATCACGACTTATGGCTTTGTGCTTAAAAACGTCTGCCAAACTGGCTAAGTGGCCAACGACGCATTGTAGGGTTCCAGAGTTTCTGCGGAAGATTTGTACCCCAATCCAGCAAGAAAAACTGATGTACTGAAACAGTCCGCCAGTAGCTGAAGCAGATGTGAAAAAAGATGCTTGCCAGGTCCCAGTGAAGTAGCTAGAAAGAGTCTTTCGGTGCCTTTCCATGGAGAAACTGACTGGTTGCGTTCAACAACTCCTCTGCAACTAAAGCTAGATTGAGGGTCCGTAGCATTCAGCTTGCCAACAATTTGATGTGACTGTGACTTATTTTCTTGGGACTTTTCTTTGTATTTTACGAGAAAGTTTCGGTGTCATTGTAAAATGCTATTTTCATTTCTAGGTGAATCAATACACTTGGGTGCAAGACTCTCCCTATATTTTTCTTCTGCTAAATCTTGGGTATATCCTGCTCCCCCCCCCCATAACAAACGCAAAAATGTTTTTCAGCTCCACAAATGCTTTAGTAAGCTGCCAGAAATCTCAAGAGTTGATACATACTGGTTTGTTTTCAAAATGGAATTGGTGCAGTTCCAAAAATCCTCCCCCATATATTTATAAACAACCAATAAAAAGTGGTCCATTAAATGCATGATGTGATCTGTGTTATGCCTACTCAGAAGTAAGCCTTCCATGAGGTTCCATGAGGCTTGCTAACTTAATATCCCATACACAATTGTGGGGGGAAATCCCCATCGAACTCAATGACGTTTGCATTTGAGCAGACCAATCTAGGATCGCACTGTGAAATCAAATGCTACCCGGGAGCCATATTTCAAGGAAGAGAGTTCCGCAGAATTGTCATAGTGATGATGAATTTTCTGATGATTCTGCCGAAATCCCCTCCCTGTAATATAGGGCGAGATGTTTGCATGCAGCGTCAAATCGCTGGCATTTACAGTTGAGAGGAACAGGAGAGGGGAAGACCCTCAAAATGCTGGAGAGCTGCAGCCAGTCAGAGTCGATGGTACTAATCTGGATGGACAAATAGAGTGATCTAGTGTAAACCAGCTCCCTGGGATAAAAAGGTAAAGGGACCCCTGACCTTTAGGTCCAGTTGTGACCGACCCTGGGGATGCGGCGCTCATCTTGCTTTATTGGCCGAGGGAGCTGGTGTACAGCTTCCGGGTCATGTGGCCAGCATGACAAAGCCGCTTCTGGCGAACCAGAGCAGCGCACGAAAACACGGTTTACCGTCCCGCCGGAGCGGTACCTATTTATCTACTTGCACTGGTGTGCTTTCGAACTGCTAGGTGGGCAGGAGCTGGGACCGAGCAATGGGAGCTCACCCTGTCGCGGGGATTTGAACCGCCGACCTTCCGATCGGCAAGTCCTAGGCTCTGTGGTTTAACCCACAGCGCCACCCGCGTCTCTTGCTCCCTGGGATACATCTGCTTTAAAAATAAGACCTGCAGCATTAAGAACAGAAAGGGCTTTGCTACCTACCTACCTACCTATAGAAGAAATTTCTGATGTTCACTTAACTGAAATTTTGTGCATCTCCCGATCTCTCTGGAGTTTTGCCCAATTGTCTTACACTTCCTTTTTTTCTTCTTTTTCCAAACACAGCTTCGAGATACTTACTCGAAGAACGGCTATGCTTGCCTTACCAGAGAAAACTTTTCCCTGGAAGACTTGGACGATTCTGGTTACAGTGAAGAGGGCGACCCCTGCTGGCAAGTCAAGTTGCAGCTCTTACGGTTAATAAAGAAGGTACGCCTGTAATACCTGTATCAAGTGAAATCAGAAAAAGAACTTTGCTACAAGAATCTTGGCCCCCTTCAGTACTACAAGTCCCAGCTAGCATGGCCAACAGCCACAGATGATAGAAACTGTAGTTCAAAACCTTTGGGGGGGGCACCAGGTTGGGGAAGTACAAATGGAACAAATAGTGTTTGACAGGGTTGCCAACTGACCAGGAAAAGAACAGTCTGCCCTGTGTTCCTGCGCCTTCAACAACAGCTTGATGATACACAGGAATCAGCAGGGCGAATCATAGCAAGGAAATAAATATTATTACTTGCTATGTTTGCGGGCCATAAGTAATTATTAGAGGCCAAAGAGCAGGGGCTGATATAATAAATAGTAATAGTAATAAATGCAACAAAAACTTGGAGACACTGTGTGTGTTATACAGGTAAATTTTCTATGCTGCCACAATGGGCTATGTCTGTGGGACATACTTTCTGTGGCAAAACTGGTTTTGCCTCCACTTAATGTATGAAATGGTTCTACCATTCCTATCCTATACCTATATATGTCTACTCTGAAGCCCACACCATTGAGTTGAGATTTACTCCCAAGTAAGTGCGTATAGGATTGCAGCCTTGAGCATGATGCAGCAGACCGCGCGCAAAGCCGGAGCAGATCCACAGGGGTCTCTCTTACGTCTAAGGCAGTGGTTCTCAACCTGTGGGTCCCCAGATGTTGTTGGACTACAACTCCCATCATCCCTGAGCTCTGGCCTTGCTAGCTAGGGGTGATGGGAGTTGTAGTTCAACAACATCTGGGGACCCACAGGTTGAGAAAGGCTGGTCTAAGGCATACTGAATCTGCTTAAGTAAACCGGAGCATGTAGTCTTGCTTAAAAAGGGCTCTGCTCCTGTAGAGCAGCCTCGAGTCCCCAGATGGTTGTCGGACTACCAATTCCCACAATACCTGCTGACTAGGAATGATGGGAGTTGTAGTCCAACAGTACCTGGGGACCAAAGCTTGAGAAAAGGCTGCTGTAGAAAGAGGACTTTATGGACAGGTTCACAAAGGCATCGAAAAGACGCACAGTTGAAAGGTCATGATGACAGCACAGTTAACATCACTTATAATGTTATTTGTTGCATTTGTACGTTGTGCAAAGAGTTTTGCTCATAGCTTTGCATTCGTATCTTGGAACCTTTTGACGAAGGGTAGTTAAGAAATAATTTTAAGCAGATAATAATAATAATAAAATTTTATTTATATCCCGCCCTCCCCAGCCGAAGCTGGGCTCAGAGCGGCTAACAACAGTAAAATAATACAGCATTCTAAAATCAGTTCAAATCAAATTAATGGCAACCATTGGGCTAGAGTTCTGTGAGGATTACTAAAGGAGGGGGTCCGGCTGTGCCCTGGGCAAAGGCCTGGTGGAACAGCTCTGTCTTGCAGGCCCGCAGGGCCCTAGTCTCTTGTGACACAGCGTTCCACCAGATCGGGGCCACGGCCGAAAAAGCCCTGGCTCTGGTTGAGGCCAGCCTAACCTCCCTGTGTGCATTTCTTAAATGAACAATGCCCGCCGTGTCCAGCATTACTGACAAGAATCCTAGTTCCCCAAAAGGTATGTAGCAGTCTTCCTTAAGCTAGTGTACCTTAAGGGGGGGGGGGCGCTCACTGATGACTCACAATCTGCTATCCATCCTTGCTGTGCCGGAGTCACTGCTAGGCAGCTTACAGAATGGAATTCTGCTACTCTTAATTTACCAGGGAGGGAAAAAGCTAACCGATTGTATTTGCCCTTGCAGATGATAGCCAGGAACCAAGCAGAAGTGGCAGCCTCCTCGGTCCAAGGTATTGATGCAGGCAGCACATTTACTCACCGTATTGGGCTGGATACGGGGGTGGATAGGAGAAGTAAATACGCTGGTGTTGCAAGTGCCCAATGGCTAAATCCACTGGAAATGTGTAGATTGTGGTGGAAGACAAGTCGTGTGAATGGGGGGGGGAGTGCATCAGTAGGAAAGGCAAAGAATGTCGTTGGGGAAGCGCCATAGCTCTGTACTTCGAATGCAGAAGGTGTGTTGCAGGTTCAGTCCTCTAGTTGCTACTACTATTTTTAAACATTTTCTTCTTGTTGTTTGTTGTAAACCACCACCAACAAATTATTTATACCCCGCCTATCTGGCTGGGCTTCCTCAGCCACTTTGGGCGGCTCCCAACAGAATATTAAAAACAAGATAAAACATCAAACATTAAAAACTTCCCTAAAGAGGGCTGCCTTCAGATGTCTTCTAAAAGTCAGATAGCTGTTTATTTCCTTGACATCTGAAGGGAGGGCATTCCACAGGGCTGGCGCCACTACTGAGAAGGTGCCTCTGCCTGGTTCCCTGTAACTGCACTTCTCGCAGTGAGGGAACCGCCAGAAGGCCCTCAGAGCTGGACCTCAGTGTTTGGGCTGAATGATGCAGGTGGAGATGCTTCTTCAGGTATACAAAAGCACATGCCGCTTTGTTCAAGTCGTACAGCCTTTTCTACAGATCAGTTCCATTTGTTATGAGACATTAGTGTTGAATACAGTTATAAGGTCAGGAAGAAGTTTGCGGGGGGAGAGTGGAGGGGTGGTGGCAAAATTTATATTTTTTGCAGTGTACTTGTGGGGTTTTGTGTCAGCGTCAACTAGACGGGTTCTCTTCTGTTCGCTTGTTAGGTTTCCTCGGTAGCGAGAGAAGTTGGGGGCCCAGGGTGTATACACAGAGTTGTATCCAAGTCAGAGAAGACCCACTGACAATGACAGACATCACTAATTCAGATCCATCCATTTCAGTGTGTCTGCGCTTAGTTGGATACAACCCATAATATTGGAGGGGGCCTGCACCATCTAGTCCAGTTGCCTGTTCTAACACAAGGAAACCAGGACTAAGACACCCCCAAAAGATGGCTGTCCACCTCTCTGCCTGAAAAGCCCAACTGGTCCATTGTGAAATGGCATTCGCCATTCAGCAGCCGGGATGCTTAGCTGAAAAATCTACTACCTTTCTATAACTTGAGCCTATTAGATCTAGTCCCGCCCTCTGGGATAGAAAAGACCCAGGTCTTTGACTCCTCCACTGCAACAGCCTTTAAGGTATTTGAAGAGAGCTGTCCTGTCCTCTTGACTGACATGTTCTCCAGGCCATTTACGACCAGTTCATTCATCCTTTTCCTCCTACCTAGGCTTGTTTTCCATTTGGCTGCTGATGTTTCATTGCCTTCCTCTGACCCCTTTCTGGTTTCCCTCCATCAGGCCCTAGCCGATGGGAAAGACCTGCTAAAGCTCTTGGAGAACTGCGGCCAGTCAAAAGTAGCCAGCACTGGGCTAAATGAACAAAAAGTCTGGAGTACCAATGTACCTGACATGTGAAACTGTGCCTCAGGTGGAACCACGCGAGTCACCTGTCTAGCCCAGGGGTTGTCAACCTGGTTTCTACTGCCCACTAGTGGGTGTTTCAGGATTCTAGTGGGGCGGTAGGAGGTTCTATAGCACAAGCTGAATCCTCCTTCCATCGAGCACTGGTGGGTGTAAAGGAAATTTTACCATCAAGAAAGATGCATTACTGGGCAGTAGGTATAAAAAGGTTGACTATCCCTAATCTAGCCCAAGCACCATCCGGCTTTGACTGTTAGCTGTTGTCCAAGATCTGAGGCATAAGTCTTTCCCCATCGGCTGCTTTTGTCCAGAGGGTTGGGTCCAAAATTGGCCAGCTCTCCATGGGATACCTGGGCGGGGCTGCCCACCTGCCGCTCCTCTGACACCACACGACACCAGGCATGCAGTACGACACCAGATGTTTCAGCTGCAGGCTGCAAAGGGAGAATGAGGACCTCAGTCCATATGCAAATCCTGTCTCGCCTGCAGCAATGCTGTGGTTGCGATAGTAATTCAAGATTAAAATCCTGACCTTTCTTCCTCTTTCATCCAAGGCGATGCTTCTACTGTAGATTCTACTGTGAGTCAGAGTGTTGTCCCCAGAACAGCAGCTCACTTGACTGCAAGCAGAATTGGGAAAAGTGTTTGGGCCACACAGAGTAAGTCGCTATGTTATTCTGGCAAGAGTATGTTTATATTTTTGCAACAATCCGCTTATGCACCTGCTAAATTAGGTAATAAAAGAAAAGCATTTGGATGTTGCTTTTAATGTGCGATTCTGCTGCTGTGTTAAATATTAGATGGCTATTGTTTTAAATGGTATTTTTTTATTTTGCTTAATTGTATTTCTATATTATTATCGCTGCTATTATTATTAATTAGGGACGCGGGTGGCGCTGTGGGTTAAACCACAGAGCCTAGGACTTGCCGATCAGAAGGTCAGGCGGTTTGAATCCCCGTGACGGGGTGAGCTCCTGTTGCTCGGTCCCTGCTCTTGCCAACCTAGCAGTTCGAAAGCACGTCAAAGTGCAAGTAGATAAATAGGTACCACTCCGGCAGGAAGGTAAACGGTGTTTCCGTGTGCTGCTCTGGTTCGCCAGAAGCGGCTTAGTCATGCTGGCCACATGACCCGGAAGCTATACAGCGGCTCCCTCGGCCAATAAAGCCAGATGAGCGCCGCAACCCCAGAGTCGGTCACCACTGGACCTAATGGTCAGGGGTCCCTTTACCCTTACCTTTATTATTATTAATTAAACTTGATGGTTACACAAGAGGTCTCCAAGTGACTTGCACCGTAGCTTAAACATAATTATAAATGCATTACAATGTGACACATTTACACAGAAACACGTACAATTCATAAAAACACTCAAAAGCAAAACATAAGCCACTCTTGAGTGTTCTCTGAGCAGAACAGATAACCTCTGTCTGGTGTGGGGAGAATCTTTGGCTCTCCAGATGTTCAGCAGCTACGGTTCCCTTCATCCGCTGTCATTGGCTATTGCTTGCCGGGGCTGATGGGAACTGTCCTTCAGGAACAGAGATTCCCCACACCAGTCCTATACGTTCTTAAGGTTGAACTCAGAATTTTCTGATTGGTTGATTGCTTTGTAGTTAAAATGGGCATTATCCATGCACAAGAAAAGGGGCATTGTTAGCAAGCTTAGAGAAAATCCCCAGGATTTATAGGAGCAGATATTCAGAAAGAAAACCTAAGTGGTGGGAAAGTCTTGGGAAGAAAAAATAGCACAATGCGAAGCATGTTCAGTGGCTAACCGAGTGCCGTGTGTCTTGGTGGGGGATGAAATGGAATATCCTGGGAAAGGGCTGGCTGGAACCCAGAACAGGAGCTCACTGTACAACCCAACACATAGCTGCAGGTCCCACTTGTGTATTTCAGCATCAACAGCAATAAACAACCACATACACCATCAAAATGAATAGTGAGCTGTGTGTCTTTAGAAGCATTAGGGTGAGCAAAGAGACTGGATTGAAATAAAAAGCTGTCAAGAACTTGCAAAAGTACTCAACTTGCAAAAGTACACATTTGCAATTAATTCATCATTGCTATCATTATTACCGTTACAGTGGTACCTCGCAAGACGAATGCCTCGCAAGACAAAAAACTCGCTAGACGAAAGGGTTTTTTGTTTTTTGAGGGGCTTCACAAGACGATTTTCCCTATGGGCTTGCTTTGCAAGACGGAAACGTCTTGCAAGTTTGTTTCCTTTTTCTTAACAACGTTAATACACTTGCGACTTGACTTTGAGGAGCAACTCATAGAACACGGTGTGGTAGCCTTTTTTTAGGTTTTTAAAGACTTTGGTGATTTTTGAAGCTTTTCCAAAACTTTCCCGACACCGTGCTTCGCGAGACGAAAAAAATCGCAAGACGGCAAAACTCGCGGAACGAATTAATTTCGTCCTGCGAGGCACCACTGTAGCTGTTTATTTTGTACTTGAAAGGTTTGGGATTTGCTTGGATATTTTTTTTACACGCCTAAAATACACGTTTGCTTTCTTTTCCAACCCGCTGTAGATTCCTCGAGCAGAAGTCGTTTTGGAGTCAAAATTGGCACGTGGCAGACAGCCAGCTGGCCTCATTCTTTCCTCCACAACGTAGGCTTGTTGGACGGGGAGCTGATAATACTACAAGCGGGCTACTACTACATTTACTCCCAAACGTATTTCCGGTTCCGTGAAGAGGAGGGTGTCGAGCGCCGTTCCGACCCGGACTCAGACAGCGTCAGGAATCCCAGGCAGATGGTTCAGTACATTTCCAAGCGCGTTGATACTTACCCAGACCCGATTCTGCTGATGAAAAGCGCAAGAACTAGCTGCTGGGCGAAAAGGGCAGAATATGGACTTTACTCTATCTACCAAGGGGGAGTGTTCCAGCTAAAGAGGAACGATCGGATTTTTGTCTCTATCAGTGATATGACGCTCGTGGACATGGATAAAGAAGCAAGTTTCTTTGGAGCCTTCCTGGTCTCTTAAAAAAAGAAGGGGAGACAGACTGAATCAGAAACGCCTTAAAAGAAAAAGACCAGGCTTTGAACTGCACAAAGACAACACTGACTCTCCAATTTTCTGCATGCAGAAATGGAGCCCATGTGCAATCCTATTGACAGATGAACTGCCAGCGAGAGCCTGAAGTTGCCAAGAAACAAAACAAACAACATCTGTCAATGTCTGTAAAGAAAGACCGGGTGCTAATGGCTGCCGTGCCATGCATATGGAACTTGTAAGAAACTGTGTCCAATTTCACTTTGGAAGAGGATAGGGCTGTACTAGTCCTGTCCCCTGAGAACAATATAGCCTGCAGAAGCACTACATACAGTTAATTGCGCCTGCGTGCTGGGAAACCACATGGAGCAAGGCGTGAGGTTCTTCCTGCATGGTTGTCTCTCTTGTGTAGCAGATTGCGTTTGGTGGAGTGAGGAGGTGGTCTTTGGCAATGGGAACGTTCAGGAGCTGGGTAAACGGTTGGTTGCCTCTGGCCAGGTTATTTCCACTGCAAACCTTTCACAAGCAGGAGGAGCAGAGATTGAGAACTGTCACATGGAAGAGCCCTCCCAGGACTGGACCACTTCATACTGGAGGGGGGGGAGAGATAACGCTGGGAGGCTAAACTACTTGACATGTGAACATTGCACATGAATGTTTGGGAGGTGAGGCATTAAAATATGGGGTCTGCTTTACGCTGTCTGAAGAGGAACAGTCCCAGAAGGGCTACACCATGTGACATATTCCATATTTGCTGTTCACCTCTTACCAATCATCTTATTGGTAAAGTCTACAAGAGAGCAGAATTTATGCATGGCGTGCAATCATTATCTGATTATACACAATATTGGGAAAATGACCCACATCGCAGGCTGCAAACTGTTGCCCACTCGTTGAATATTTCTCTTTAAAACCAGGCTACTCTGCCTTGATACCCTGGTTATTTTTTTTGTTTTTAAACCTTAAGCCCACCTTAATATTTTTTTTAAAAGTAATTACGTGAATAAATAACATACTTACAAAAACAACATAGAAGTGTTCACAGACCTTCTCAACCCAGTCAAGCCTGAACACTGGAGATAAGGTTGCCTTTAACAGCATTTGAGCTGTGCAGAAATCAGTTCTGATGTGGATGAGCATTATGACTGATGGGGTTGATGCTAATTGCACAAAAACAGGGCCTAGTAAAAAAAAAGAAAAGTTGGTAACTCTTAACTGGAAGGTGTATCCAGTATGTGATGCTGCTCCACAGAAGTGAGTAATCTTGTGTTTTTTCGCAGTGGTGGTGGGGGGGACAGTGACATTTTTAAAGACTTGTGGCTTGGCTTGCATATGAACCAGGGATCCACGTTTAAACAATTGGAGCAGTTTCATAGTAAGTCAACTTCAAACCATGGCTTATGAAGCCTGCTCATTGGGACTAGCCAGAGTTTGATTTGAACCACGGTTTCCTGGTTTTCACATAGCGATATGCCAGGAAATAGGGAACAGCACATAGCCTTCTTTGTGTTGTTGCACTCCAATATGGGAGTTGGACTCGCAACAACACATTTTGGACTGCGCATTCTCTGTTCCTGCATTAAGCCAAAATTCTTTTAATTTCAGGAGCAACATTCAGGAGCAGAGCCTATCTGCGTAGCACTAAACTGCAGCAGGGGGAACTCGAGGTCCTCTGGAGGCTGTCAAACCCCAACTCCCATCATCGCAGACCACTGACAGGGCTGATGGGAGTTGTGAGTCTGATATTATCCACAAGGCCACAGTTTCCCCATCAGGGCACTGTGGTTTAGCGTTACATGCACAGCAAGCCCCAGCATCTCTGTAAAAAGGTGGCAACCATCTGTGGCATTTACCATTCTCAGGGAGATACTGTTGAAAAACAACATACCGTATTTTTCGCTCTATAAGACACACCAGACCACAAGATGCACCTAGTTTTTGGAGGAGGAAAACAAGAAAAAAAATATTCTGAATCTCAGAAGCCAGAATGGCAAGAGGGATCGCTGCGCAGCGAAAGCAGCAATCCCTCTTGCTGTTCTGGCTTCTGGGGTAGCTGCGCAGCCTGCATTCGCTCCATAAGACGCACACACATTTCCCCTTACTTTTTAGGAGGGGAAAAAGGGAGACTTACAGAGCAAAAAATACGGTATATTTTGAGCCAGAGGGTGCTTTTGAGTGAGATAGAAATACAGGAGTGATGGTATGGAAGATGAGTAACACATTGCCTCAATTTTATCTTTTTCTTTTACAGTGGACGCTTGGGTTGCGAACGTGATCCGTGCGGGATGCATGTTTGCAACCCGCGTCTGCACACACGCGGGTTGCGATTTGGCGCTTTGCGCATACGCAAAGCATGATTTAGTGCTTCTGCACATGCGCAACTGCCGAAACCTGGAAGTAACCTGTTCCGGTACTTTGAGGTTTCGGCGGTCCGCAACCCAAAAAAACGCGACCTGAAGCTGCTGTAACCTGAGGTATGACTGTACTGGCAATTGGACCTTGAAGCGAGGGCCAGAGGAACAGCCTCCTGTCTCCTCCTATTGCCACACACCTGTGCAGCTTTGGTGTTCCATCCTACATTTTGGTTTCACAGATGCAGGGAAGTAGATGCCAAAGACCTTTGCCGCAAGCTCATCTCTTGCCACACTTGACTGGCTGCAGGGGAATGTCGAGTTGGCAAGGAGTTACTGCAGGGTCTGTATTGTGTTAAAATCTGCCACGTTTTTTCCTGAAGGCCTCTCGTACTCGTTTGACTGGCCTACAGTGACCTTGCCATGCATCCCAGAAAAACACAGCTGTTTGCTTTTACAATTTCTCCTCCGTGTTCTCAGAGAGAACTCCAGGATCACGGAAGAGTGGGGCTGGGCGGTGGGTGGGTAGTATAACTAGATAGGCCAAAAGCTTTCCTGAGTTACTAAACACAAAACAGAATGCTCGATGAGTGTTTACTCCTAAGTAAGGTTGCACAGTGATGGAGCCATATGTGAGCCTCTCTATCCCTCAGTCATATATGAGTAAAAGTAGCAAATTTTGTGCCTTGTGTCGGGGGCGTGTGGGAGCATCCAGCCTCCATATTGAAAGTGCATGTGTGGGGCCATTGGTTCACACAGTCTCTCCCCCCCCACACACATTCAGGTGCCATCAAAAGGGGCTGTGTGTGTATCCTAATGTACGCACGTTGAACTCCATGCAAGGGGCAATCCTGATTGAGCCAGATTCTGCCTGCAGCCTGGAGGAACTTGAGGCCAGCACCTGTGTGCAAATGTACGTGAGCTCCTTCTCAAGGCAGTGGAGTGTGCTGGTGGCTGCTGGAGCGTGGCCACTGCGTGCAACAGGGTGGAGCTAAGTCTGCATGGCCCCCTCATGTATTCTTCCAACATGTTGAGGGGAGGGAGGGGTCTGTCACTGAGCCCCTCCCAAGTATAATTTTGTATTGTAATGTTTCTTTTCATTTAGAATTTTGTATAAAACTTAAATTCATTGTGCAGTTTTCTAAGATGATTGTCAAATTTTGTAAATAATTTTTTATAAAAAAATTTTTTTCTACAAATGAGTGTGTCTTTTCCTCATCGTACATCTGGGCCTATTATTTATTATTATAATTATAACTAATCTTTTTGCCCTTATAGATACTCAAGGCAGCCTACACATAGAAATAAGAACTGCTAAAAACATAGGAAAAACCTTCATTAAACATTTTATATCTGTTTAAAAGCTGCCGAGGCAGGGAAGTCCTTTACTGCAGGAACAGGTTCAAAAAGCAGCAAGATGTCTCTTAGATAATTGCTAAAACAAGACCAATGAGGTGACTGAAAAGGCTGTTTGGAAGAGAACCTGATCCCCCTCCCTCATGGCAGGCTGCCCGTAATGGAAATACAGTTGTACCTTGGTTTTCGGAACGGAATCCATTCCAGAAGTCTGTTCAACTTTCAAAGCATGGCTCCTGCAGCCAATCGGAAGCCCTGTTGGACATTCAGCTTCCAAAAATACTTCGCAAACCAGAACACTCACTTCTGGGTTTGCGGCGTTCGGGAGCCAAAACGTTTGAGAACTAAGCTGTTCAAAAACCAAGGTAAGACTGTACTACAAGAAGCTCTTACCAAGGTATTCAATATTCTCTAGGATAATGGCGTTGTTCCGAGTAATATCTGTCAGCATTGCTCTTGAGCCAGTGCCACGAACTGGACTCATCCACTTCAACCCCGACTGGGCTAGGTGAGCTGGGTAGCACTTCCAGAGACCACCTTCTGCACAGGAACAGGTCAAAGTGCTGTGGACTCACAGCTTAAAGTTGTGAGCACCGGATTCACTTCCACAAGAAGACAGTCGTCGCACAGCAGAGTCTAGCAGAGCATAAACGACTCGGAGAGCAGCTCTGTAGAATATCTTCTTTATTCTATCTACAACTATAATACACAACTATATACAGAGCTAAATGAGGTCTAAACGAAAAAATGCTGAACTGCACTGAGTGTCTGCAGCTGCTCTTAGCAGCAACATTATCTATACACACGATCTCTCTCTAACACTCAGTCTCTCTTTGATGTGAGGCTGAAACAATAAGTAGAGAGCAGAAACCGCCCCCTCTCGAGAATCAGCAGAGAACATCAGCAGATTTCTGGATATGGGAGGGGTGAAATCTCCCCTTCTACTCTGTCGTCAGCAGCTCCACCCCTTTATATATATACACACCCACCCCTTTGTCTCTTCGCTTTCTGCTCTCCCACTTTCACTGCCCTCCTGGTCCTAGGAGAAGCGGGGTCTGGAATGCTTTCTAATGATAACATGTCAGCCAGCTGTTCTGGCTCTGCTGCTACCCCCTCCTCTCAACATTATCTTGCAGCTTTGTACTTCTATCTCAGAGTCATGACCTGCAAACCACCATTGTAAATCTATACTGTCGTCCTCCACCATTCCAGTCTTCTGTCCAGTCCTTGACACCGTCCCAGTAAATGTTCCCCCAGAAATCCACAATGCACGACGGTCAATTTGCTGTTTCCCACACAATTTATGTAGTAATCTGCAGCGACAAGATATGTGCAGTGGGTCCCTCTTTTTAAAAATTATATTTTTGTTACTTTTTACACATAGAAAGTTACATTTGGTACTCAAATTATATCCCAATTCAACAAAACTAGTGACTTCCCGCTCGCCCGACATCAATGTATCAAATTGCATACAATTGCGTTATTAATTTTCCGTTTTAATCTAGTATGCTCTCGTTTCTTAATATATTCTGCTGTTTTCAACTGCTAGTGAACACTTTATTTCTAGACATGCCAGGCTTGTTGGAATATAGCACAAAATGGCTGCCACATTTAATGGGGCATGATGACAAAAAGTGTCCTGTTAACGCTCCTCCATCAATTGGGTGGGAGTGGGGAGACAACCTGCCTTAGCTCACCACTGCACTCAGTGGGATCTTAGCCCCTCTGTTCTGCGAAATAAGGTTCCAAGATCGGAACAGGATCGAAAATAAGAGCTGCAAATTCAGTTTCACAATGGCCAGAACACCAGTGAGGCATGTGGTCTGAGGAGAGAATGGTGGCCTAAGGTCCCCAGAGCCAGGGAGAGAAGTCTGGAGGGCAGCATCTTCCCCCCCCCCCAAGTCTGAAATTTCCCATCTCCTGCCTCCTAAAAGCTTAAGTTGAAATCTGCACAAGGATCTCTGAAAATACAAGAGAAACGGAGAAGTAGCGTAATGATCTTCATGCATTGCAGGGGATCAATAGACTGCCCTCGATAATCCCTTCCAACTCTGCAATTTTATGATGTCCTTGTTAGCTTCCCAAGAGCCTGGGAAACTGAATGCCAAGCTGTAGGTTATCCCTAAACTTTTAGCAGGTATTTGAACAGATGCTCTTAGCGTTTGCAATGCTAGAGCAACTAAACACCACCAGGCAGGCTGCTCAGTATTGTCTACAGTTGGGAAGCGGGTGGCGCTGTGGTCTAAACGACTGAGCCTCCTGGGCTTGCTGATTGGAAGGTCTGCGGTTTGAATCCCCACGACGGAGTGAGCTCCCGCTGCTCTGTCCCAGCTCCTGCCAACCTAGCTGTTCGAAATCACACCAGTGCAAGTAGATAAATAGGTACCACTGTGGTGTGAATGTAAATGGCATTTCTGTGCCCTCTGCTTTCCGTCACAGTGTTCCGTTGTGCCAGAAGCGGTTTAGTCATGCTGGCCACATGACCCGGAAAACTGTCTGTGGACAAACGCCAGCTCCCTCGGCCTGAAAACAAAACAAGTGCCACAACCCCATTGTCACCTTTGACTGGACTGCAGTGACTGGCACAGGCTCTCCAGTTTTGCAGCTCTACATCAATATGCCAAATGTGAGCACACACTGTCCTCCCGAGTGGCGAGGTTATCATAAGCCATTAAAACGTAATCTGCAGAAACGTACATGATGCACTGTGGCTGTATCAAACGTGGCGCCTTTCAACTAGGCAAAAGTGAGAAACCTGTGACATCCAGTAATCAAATAACGCTGCCGTTCCCCTCCACTTTTCCATGAGCTGATGGAAATAATGTCATTTCAAAATATAGGCAGATCCCCCCCCCCTCTCTCTCCCCCTGCCACTGCCACTCACTCATTCCT